CTCATTGTCTCCCTTCTTCTGTTTGTCTGTGTATTCTTTCGCTATCCCTATCGCCTCTGGATCTCCCCTCCTCGTGAACCAAACACTCGTGAACATCATAACTATGTCGAGGCAGGACCCCGGCAGCTCTGGGGAAAGGTCCTGGTCTCCTTTCAGCATCTCTAGCCGCATTATTCCTTGGAAAGCTCCATACACTTTTCATTAGTCTTCCCGTTGATCTAGGAGCTTCACATTGCAGGGCCCCCAGATCCAAAGGGTGTACTACATTCCTAACTCTTCTATCTTAGTGGTAGTAGGTCTCTCTTTCTCTGTTCAGGTCTCTCACTTTATATCTCTTCTAAGATAAAAGGTATTGTATACCACACAGTTGGAAATCTCCCATAAATACAATCAGGGTGGTGGTGGTATTAAAGGTGTTGTTGTTGTGTGCCATTGAGTCCGTTCCAACCCATAACAGTCTGTATTAGGTTTCTGAGGAGCGGCTGGTGAGCTTGAACCGCCAACCTTGTAATTCAAACTGACTTTGCAGTCCAATGTAGTAACCCTCAGTACCACACTAGGACACTCCTCTTACTGGTTTAGTACATCAAATCACACGATGGGGGATAGCTACATCTCAACTGCCTAAGCACGGAGAATCCTGGCCCTGTCAAGTAATCACAAGAGAACTGGGACCCTCTTTATAATGAGACAGAGTACACATAGAAGAGAAGTTACAAATCTAGCACATCCAGACCCAATAGGAGTCATAACAAGTTACACAAACCTGCTTTCCAGCAGGATCAATAGATAGTACTCCTCATTGAAATGTATCTCATAGCACTTTAATTTTGACTTTAAAGGAGCACAGTAATTGGTATGTGTGCTAAGAGTGTATATGCAAATTGTGCTGGTGGACTAAATCTGTGAGAGAGGGGCTAGAAGAGCATAGAAGAGGCAGAGTGGTATATAAGACAGAGAAGAATTCTGGCAGCTAGGATGCAGGGCGTGGATATATCTAAAACACTGTTGGCTGCACACTTCCTCTGGACCTTGTACTTCTTTTTGCTCATCCTCCTCATTGATATTTCCACTCTGTAGGAATGTGTGAATGAGATAATCCATAGCAGCAAGCAAGGGAAAGGCGGTCCACTGACCATGGGCCCTGGTGCTCCTAACAGATGTAAACAATGTCCAAAGCATGACAGAAAAAAGCTGCTTCAAGAAGATATCCAGGGCAACACAGTGGCCACACAGTAACTCAATACCTTCTCATTAGCATAGTCTTATGATCACTGTTGCCTTCCTAAGAGCAACTTCAGCTCTAGGTAAAAATTAATAACATACTGCATTGGGCAAATCTGCAACAAAAACTTCTTTCAGATGTTAAAATGCAAAGATGTCATTTTGATGACTAAAGTGTACCTGACCCAAACCATGGTCTTTTCAATTATATGCATTCAAAAGCTGGACAATGACTAAGGAAGCCCAATGCAATAAAATTGTGGTGTTGCCAGAGAATACTGAATATACCATACACTGCCAGAAGAAAAACAAATGTCTTAGAAGAAGTGCAAACTGACGACTTCTTAGAAGTGAAGATGGTGAAACTTTGTGTCATGTTCTCTGGACACGTTATGAATAGGGACTAGTTCCTGGTGAAGGGCATCATGTTTGGTAAAGCAGAGGGTCAGCCAAAAAGAGAAAGACCCTCAAGGAGATGGATTGAAATAGTGACTACAGCAATGGGCTCAAACAACAAATTGTGAGGATGGTACAGAACCAGGCAGCATTTCTGTTTTGTTACACATGGGGCTGCTATGAGTTGGAGCTTAATCAAAAGCATCTAACAATAACAATAAGATAGTCCATCACCAAATTGCCCCATTTCCTCCCAGCATGCATCTCGCACTGACCCCATTTCTTTGACCCCTGCTCAGAACGGTCCAACACTAGCCCCTGGAAGCCTTCCCTTAGGCTACCTTCTTCTCTGCTCTGCGTATGCTACTTTCGGTCATTGGTCAGTGGGCATCCACAATAGGAAATGATGAATTAATGTTGGCCTTGATTATTCTTTTCTCTTTAGTAAAATTTGATCATACACTATTCTGATTAGTGTTCAAATTACCATTATACCTGCTGTTGTTGCTCAGTGCTGTTGAGTTGATTCTGACTCATAGTGACCCTGTATAGTGTTTCAGAGGAGCAGCTGGTGGGTTTGAACTGCCAACCTTGTGGTATGCAGTCCAGTGCTGATCCACAGCACCACATCATGAGACTATTATACCTAGAAGTAGGTAAACAGCGTCCTAAAAAGCACTACTGTCTTGGAGTCTAGCCAACACTGTCCTCTGGCCCTTCAATACGCCAGGCCTCCTTATATCTTATCTTCTCCCTCTTCATCTTCCATATTCATTAATGATGTTCCGATTTTTATTTTTTAGGTGAAATAATATAAAATTAATCATTTAAAAATGAACAATTAGCAGTGTTTAGTACCTTTACAATGTTATGCAACTACTACTTCTATCTAGTTCCAAAACCTTTTAATCATTCAGAAAGGAAACTCTATACCTACCCATTAAGCAATAACTTTGTATGCTTTTCCTACTCCAGCACCTGCAAACTAATAGTCTGCATTCTGTCTCTATGGATTTTACCATTCTAGATGTTGCTGTTGTTAAGTGCCATTGAGTCGGTTCTGACCCACAGCAACCTTGTATAAGGTTACAAGGAGCGGCTAGTAAGCTTGAACCACCGATCTTGCTGATCAAAATGACTTTGCAGTCCAGCATATTAACCCGATAGTTAAATGGAACTTAACAATCATATATATGGAATTATACAAAGTGTATATGACTTTTTGGAGTCCTGGTATGGCACTGTAGGATCGCTAGACAGCTAACTACAAGATTGTCAGTCAAAACCCACAAGCCACTCCTTGGAAACCCTACACAGGGTGACTATGAGTCAGAACCAACTCAACAGCATACACCACCACCATGTACCTTTTTGAATATGACTTTTTAACTCAGTGTAATGTTTTGCGGTTCATCCATGTTGTTGCATAAATTAGAACTTCATTCCTTTTAATGGCTAAACACTATCTAGCCCATATGCCCTTTAATCAGTTTGAAAGAATCTGTTTCCACCAACCCATATTAGAGTCCTTTAAATAATTTCCTATTAACTATTAAACTCCCTTTAAAAGTTGACTCCTCCTTTCAAAATGTATTAATTTTGTTCTTTTGAATTATCAAAAGTGCCTCTAGCAAGCATACTGTTCCCAAGACCTTAGAATTTCATGTTTAATCTCATCTGTTAAAATTTGACAACTTCAATGCACTCAAGGACTCACATTTTAAATCGAAAATCAAGGTTTATGAGAATCTCAATTAACAAAAATTTTACAAGACCACATCTACCTGATTATTGCTACAAAATAATCCCTATTTAATGTCCATTTTTGAGTTTTAGTCAAAAGCAACTTATCAGTAGTTAAGCTGCTCCTTGAAAACCCTATACAGGATCGCTATGGGTCGGAACCAACTCGACGGCACTTCACAACAAGCTATTAATATCTTTTGGGGCGTGCAGGATTCCTTTCATGAGCTGGGCTATCAGAGGATGGGGTGATTACCTATTGGGCAACCATTTCCCTGCAACGAACGGAATACTGAATGACTATGCGTCTCCAGTAACTCTTTAGGTCCCAGGTTCATGTTTAAGCCTTTACATACCATTAATGTGCTGGATAACGCATTTAGATGACCTCAGCTTTTAACAAATAAAAGGCTATATACTTAGTGAGCTCTTTTCTTGAAACAGTGGGTGGCTCTGAAAAGAGCCTTTGATTTCAAAAAGGACTTGTCTAGAACAGTAGAGCCGTTTTGCCTCTTACAGGCCTCACTTGCCCTTAGCCTTGTGATGGCTCTCGGTCTTCTTGGGCAGCAGAACCGCCTGGATATTGGGCAGGACACCGCCCTGCGCAATGGTGACGCGACCCAGCAGCTTGTTGAGCTCTTCGTCGTTGCGGATTGCCAGCTGCAGATGGCGCGGGATGATTCGCGTCTTCTTATTGTCACGGGCAGCGTTACCCGCCAGTTCCAGAATCTCAGCCGTCAGGTACTCCAGCACCGCTGCCAGATACACTGGCGCGCCGGCCCCAACGCGTTCCGAGTAGTTACCCTTGCGGAGAAGACGGTGCACACGTCCCACTGGGAACTGCAGTCCCGCACGAGACGATCGTGATTTCGCTTTGGAGCGTGCTTTGCCGCCTTGTTTCCCACGTCCGGACATCTCCGAGTCAGACACAGAAGAGAAACAAAATTGAAAACCTGAACACCGAATAACATCTTTCTGAACCACAACGAGCCATTATATATAGTTCGGAGGTAGTCTAAGCGGCAGCATTCGATTGGATAGCAACTAAAACCAATCATAAAAGAAAACTGGCATCCTCTAATTTGCATATGCCTTCCCCAGCTATGACGTATTACCACGTTTTATCCTATCAACTATTAGGACCTGTTAATCCTTCATTTGAATACAAGACGTACAAATAGAGTGGCTGGTAATTCATCCACTTTTTCGTTTGGAGAGACCAGTCACCATGCCTGATCCGTCTAAATCAGCTCCTGCTCCCAAGAAGGGTTCTAAGAAGGCTGTCACCAAAGCCCAAAAGAAAGATGGCAAGAAGCGCAAACGCAGCCGCAAGGAAAGCTACTCGATTTACGTGTACAAGGTGCTGAAGCAGGTGCACCCCGACACCGGCATCTCATCCAAGGCCATGGGTATCATGAACTCCTTCGTAAATGACATCTTTGAGCGCATCGCCAGCGAGGCCTCCCGCCTGGCACACTACAACAAGCGTTCCACCATCACCTCCCGGGAGGTGCAAACTGCCGTGCGCCTGCTGTTGCCAGGCGAACTGGCCAAGCATGCCGTGTCCGAGGGGACCAAAGCCGTCACCAAATACACTAGCTCCAAGTGAGGCGCTTCCACCGCAGCGGCGCAACAGAACCCAAAGGCTCTTTTCAGAGCCACCCACATGATCGAGAAAGGGTTTCGAACACATTGCTTAACTTCCTGCTATCTTCCCGTGCCCTAGCGATTCCTTGATTCGCCTATGGGTTCCAGTCTCAGTTATGAATGTGAGTGCAACCGTAAGATTGGGGACAGAATGTGACTGTTCGTTACAGAACTTAGGGGTAGAGACCGTTGTGGAGTAAAGGAGTTGTAATGTTTGTGGGAGGGGATCAAAGATTTAACTGTATCCACACTTGCTTCCACCCATGCGTGTTGAAAACGCACCACAACGTCAAATAGCAGTTTTTAGGTTCAATGTTCTTTAGTAGTTTGAGCGTGTTGTGTAGACACTAGTGCGCGTAGATCCGGTCCAGGACTGTGGTAGTCTGTGTGAGACTTGCTAGCGTGGTCACCTTCTGGAACACCTTGTGCCTAATGCGCGCCTGAGGCCAGACATGTACTGGACCCCCGGGCATGGTGATACCTGAATAGTGTCGCGCTGCTCCGGCGGTAGATCCAGGCACTGCACGCTTGCCTGGATCAGACCTATTTTTTCCGCAAGCAGTTAACAGTCACTGAGAGAAAAGCGGCAGGATCTGTTTGAAATTCATCGCTCTTCTGCCTCTGTGCTGTGGAAGTCAAACGTAATAGGAAGCTGACCCCAGCTGTGGGTTGGGAGTCAAACGTAATAGGAAGCTGACCCAGCTGTGGGTTGGATTAACCTTTATTTATGCTGGGAGGAAGAGAACTGTTAAATGATTTTTATAACAATTTAAGAGGAAAATTCCTTTTTATGAGCAAATGTTGGTTCCTCCGCCTCTCCCCCATTCAACCTCACTATTATGTGAAACCTTGCTCGTTGCCGTCTCGTCGCCCCCACTCTCCTCGACCCCAAGCACAACAGAAATTGAACCATTGTAATTCAATATAGGGTTTTCACCGGCAGATTTTCGGAAGTAGATGAGCCTTTCTTCTGTATCAAGCAAATTAACTCCGCATTCAATAAACATTTATTTCCCGTATCTTTGAATTCATGACATTTATTCAGAGTCATCTTTGTTCAGGAACATCGCTTTGGCATGAATCCTCACTCAGAATAGGGCCTCGCTTACCATTTGCTTTGCTTTGCTTTTCTAGTTTGTGGAAAGGGGCGTTCTAAGTCGTCGTCAGAGAATTTATTATTGAAAACTAGTGTCATAATTTAGGCAAGGAATAGACTTTTAATAAAAATGAATAATTGCCGTTTTTAGCAAGTCATCTATCTCACCAAAGAAATAGTCACTTGCTCAGGCTGGGGAGAGCGGGGGCTGAGCTCCGGGAGTAGAGCAGCTCCAGAAACAGACAACGTCACAACCCCAGCATCCTTCGCAACAGTGACAGCATCACTCCACCACCACCACCACCCTTTTTTTTTCTTGCGTGGATTCTTTCTAAAACCTTACATCTAAAATATTTTTATCATAAGTAAATAGTTGCAAGAATGCAAATTCAAACATATAGTGAAAATTGACTTTTAAAAAACTATAATTTTCACACCAATCTTCTAAAGCTATCTATTGAAGTATTTTGATACTACAGTCAATTTATAAAGTATATGGTTAAAGTCAAATAGTGAGGAAGTTTAAATCATTTTTGGTCTGAACTCAAATTTCCATTTGATGCCTGATTTCATCCTAATGTAATATGCATATTTTAAAATGTTTAACAGTTTAAAATGTTTAATCTATCTTATCTGCAAAAAGCATGTGAATAGACATTTAAGAATACTACTTGAGTTCTAGTGTGGTGCTTGCTGTAGAATATGCGCTAGACTGCTAACTAAAACGTTGGTGGTTCAAACCCTCTAGTTGCTCCTCGGAAACCCTATACACCATAGACATGAATCAGAACCGAACCCATGGCACTAACAACAACAAGGTGACCAATAGGCACTCTGGTGGTGCATCATGTTACACGTTGGGCTGCTAACCTCGAAGTCAACAGTTCAAATACACCAGCAGCTCCATGGGAGAAAGAGGATACTTTCAGTTTCTGTAAAGATTTTCAACTCACACCTTAAATACAGGGTCCCTATGAGTCAGACCACCACTACCACTAGGTGACCAAAAGTATCTCCATGTTTAAAAAAATCAACTGGAGAGTACATAGTTGTTAAAACAAGGAAGTTTTCACAATTATCAAATAAAATAAAACTTTAATAAAACCTGCCTATTTAAACTCATCTGTCAGTTTGTCCGATTGTGGTGGCTTACATGTTGCTGTGATTCTGGAAGCTATGCCACCAGTATTTTAAATACCAGTAGGGTCACCCATGGTGGACAAGTTTCAAACAGCTGAGCTTCTAGACGAAGACAGACTAGGAAGAAGGAGAGATTGACTACTTCCACATATTTATTCACTAAAAACCTTATGAATGAAAGATAAGGTGCCAGAAAATGAGCCCCTCAATTGGAAGGCACTCAAAATACCACTGGGGAAAAGCTGCCTCCTCAAAGTAGAGTTGACTGTGATGACGTGAATAGACTAAAGCCTTCGGGATCTTCGTTTGTTGATGGGACACAACTCAAAATGAAGAGAAACAGCTGTAAACATCCATTAATAATGGGAACATGGAAGGTACAAAGTACAAACCTAGGAAAATTGGAAATTGTCAAATATTGATATCCTAGGCATTGTTGTTGTTGTTCAGTGCCCTCAAGTTGGTCCAACTCACAGCAACTCTGTATAAGTTTTCCAAGGAGCAGCTGATGAGTTTGAACAGTCAACCTCATGATTCAAACTGATCTGTTGGTCCAGCGAATTATCCTGCAGTGTCACACCAGTACTCCACATCCTAGACATTGTTGTTAAGTGCCCTTGAGTCTGTTTCAACTCACAGCAACCCTGTATAGTGTTTCCAAGGAATAGCTGGTGGGTTTGAACTGCTGACCTTGTGATTTGCAATCAAGTGCTGATCCTACAGTACCACACCAGGAGTCTTAGGCATTAGTGAGCTGAAATGGACTGTTATTGACCATTTTGAATCTGACATTCACAAGATTTATAATGCCAGGAATGACAAATTGAAGAGGAATGGCATCGTATGCATCATCTCTCAGACTTTGGACACTTTATAAAGAGGGACCAGTCCCTGAAGAAGGATATATTTGGTAAAATGGAGGGTTGGAGAAAAGAGGAAGACCCCCAATGAGATGGATTGGCACAGTGGCAGCATCAATGGCCTCAAACGTAACAACTATTGTGAGATTGGCCCAGGACCGGGCAATGTTTCATACTGTTGTGCATAGATAGGATTGCTATGAGTTGGTACTGACTCAATGGCACCTAACAACAACAACAACAACAACAACAACAACAACAACAATTTTCATGAGAGGAGTCTTGGTGTGGCTGTAGGATAAGCACTAGATGGTAAGGTTGGCTTAAATCACAAGGCTGATGATTCAAACCCACCAGCCACTCCTTGTAATCCCCATATAGTGTCGCTCTGAACTGGAACCCTTTAGACAGCACTTGGAGTCCTGGTGTGGCATTGTGGACTAATGCGTCAGACTGCAAAGTCATTTGAACTTCAAGGTTGGTGTTGCAAGCACACCAGCTGCTCCTTGGAAACCCTATACAGGGTCACTAAGGGTTGGAATTGACTCAACGGCACTTAACAACAACAAGACAGCACTTAACAACAGCATTTTACTGAGATAGGTGGTTCTTTCCTCCTGTCTGCCTCTACAAGTTCATGTATCCATGGGTATATACAGTATTATTATGGTTACAGTGATAGCAATATACATCATCATTTCTACTTCTTTGTTCTCTTAATATGTTTTGGAAAAAAGTATTTGCTACCAACTATAATCCTCTGCCATCAAGTCAATTCTGAATCATAGCATCCCTGTATATGTAATCTTTGTTGTTATTAAGTGCTGTTGAGTCGGTTCTGACTCATAGTGACCCTGTATAGGGTTTCTGAGGCTTTTCAAACTTTGCAAGATTAGAAAGCCTCATCGTTCTTCCGCAGAGCAGCTGGTGGGCTTAAACAGCAGACCTTGTGGTTCACAGTCCAGTGCTTATCCTAGGGAGTCACCGTGTTCCCATGTAATCTTATGGGAACAGAAAACCTCCTTTGTCTCCTGTGGATTGGACAGTGGATTTGAACTGCCGTTCTTTTGGTTAGCAGCCCAGTGCTTATCCTACAGAGCAATTAGGGCGCCTTATAAAAAATATGTACAAACGGAAATATTGCTGTAGTCATGGCACTTAATTCTTGCCTTCCTAGTTATAATCTGAAAACCAAATTGTGATCTATCATTAATGCAAGGAGGCCTGGTGGCACAGTTGGTTAAGCATTGGACTGCTAACTAAGGGTTGTGGTGCAAAACCCACGAGCTGCTTCCAGGAAGAAAGATGAGGCTGTCTGCTCTCATAAAGATTTGCAGTCTTGATAACCTTGTCGAGCAGTTCTACTGTGCCCTACAGGGTTGCTATGAGTCAGAATTGGCTTGATGGTAGTGGGTTTGTTATTGTTGTTAGGTGCCATGATATGGGCTCATAGAGACCCTATGCACAACTGAATGAAACACTGCCCTGTCCTGCACCAATCTCACAATCATTGTTATGTTTGAACCCATGGCTGCTGCCACTGTGCCAATCCATCTTGTTTGGTGTCTTCTGTCTTTCTCTGACCCTCCACTTTACCAAATATGATGTCCTTCTCCAGGACTGGTTCCTTTTTAAATTATGTCCGATATAAGAGAGACAAAGTCTGACCATCCTGGATTCTAAGGAGCATTCCTACTACACTTCTTCCAACACAGATTGGCTTGTTCTTTTGGCAGTCCATGGCACTTTTAATATTCTCCTCCAACACCATAACTCAAATACATCAGTTCTTCTACAGTCTTCCTTATTCACTATCCAACTTTCACATGCATATGAGGCTATTGAAAATACCATAGCTTGGCTCAGACCCACCTTAGTTCTCAGACTGTTATCTTTGCTCTTCAACACTTTAGAGATATCTTGTGCAGCAGATTTGCCTAATGCAATATGTGGTTTAATTCCTTGACTGCTGCTTCTATGAGTGTTGATAGTTAATCTGAGTAAAATTAAGTCATTGACAACTTCAATTTGTATGTATTTTTTGGTACAGTAGTGATTTTTGCTTTTTTTTTTTTTTGTACTCTGAAGTGTAACCAATATTGAATGCTGTAGTCTTTGATCTTCATCAGTAAGTATTTTAAAGGTATGGGACCATCAAATGTAAAACGGAACCTAGCAACACACACCCTTTCAAGAAATAGGCTATTTGCATGTAAAACTACAGAATCTAGTTCTCTTCATTTGTGAAATAGGTGCCCCTGACTAGGACTACCATACTCTTAACCTCCTATATTGGGAGTTAATATTTTAAGTAATCATTTGTAGTCATATGAAACTAGTCTTACAGACTAGTGGCTCTCCCTTAATGAAGTAAATGAAATTTGTTTAAGAGAATGAAAATCCCATCTCTTGTAGAGAAAAGTTTGATAGGTTTTGCATAAATGGGCAGCAAAGTTTGAAAGAACAATTGTGTTTACTGTCAAAATTAAAATCAATCAGCAAAACGAACATAATTTCTAAATTTAATGATACAAATATAAATTTTGTTGTGGATAATGTAAACATCTTTCAGGAGCAGATCATCAGGCCTGTCTTCTGAGGCACCTCTGGGTGGGTGTGAACCACCAATCTTTCATTTTGCTAATAGTTAAGCACTTAACAATGTTAAGGCCCAGGTAAGTAATTTAAGGGATTTTACCTGTATGGACTATGAACTGCATTTAAGAGACTCTAGACAACTCCCCACTCCCATCTCCTGGGAGCTTGGTGGCTCCATAGGATCAGCATTGGACTGCAAAATACAAGGTCTGCGCTTTGAGACTGCCAGCCGCTCCTCAAGAGAAAGATAAGACTTTCTACTCCCTCAAAGATTTAAAACCTAGGGAACCCTATATAGGGTCACTTTGAGTTGGAGTCAACTGGGCAGTACTTAACATCAAACCCCCTATCTCCACTTGAAATTTCAAATCAAATTTGCTAATTATTTTTATATAAACAAGAGAATTGGGTAGGGAAAAAAAACTGTTTTCTTAGAAAATATAAATGAAAGAAAATAAGTTTACTATATGAGACAGTGAAAGATTAACTATTCAAAAATGTGTTTGTCCCTGGCGGTAGTGAGAGTCTTTCACCAGTAACTGAGCCGGAGTCTTATCCAAATCTAAGACCGCATTTCAGTTATGAAAGAAATGACTGCTCTGGGTGACAGTTTATATTATTTGTGGTTGTAAAGTAACAGGTATTTGGGTTATTTGAAAAAAAAAAAAAAAAGGAACAAAAAGAGCCTAGGCCCCAGGTAGACCTGCATGCCTTAGTTATTAGTAATCTGTCATTCAGGGAAGAATGTAGTTAACATATGATTTTTATTGAGGGAGGAAAGATGCTATATTCTTCTTCACTAAAAGTCTTTCCCTGTTTATGAGACTTGTTTTCAAAATGTACATTTTTCAGACAAAATATTAAAAATCTCCAGTTTGGGAGAATTTTAGGTGAGTGCTGAGGGGTGACCAGGAACTGTGTGCTCTGCTGTTTGGATTTTTCAAACAAGGCACAGTGCCTTTAAGGAGCTGTGTAAACTCAACGCTGTAAAAGCGCTTGGCTTTTTCAAAGAAGCTCACCATGCCTAGCCCAGCAGAGGCTAGGGAATGACAGCCTCAAACGCCACCTCCAGGGTTGTGACAACACAGAGTATCACCGAACTCCATCCCGTGCACCTTGCACCTGACTTCACCTACCAAGTCACCATCAGATGCGAGTGGGAAGATGATACAAGGTCTGCCTGAAAGTGATCCCAGTGTGCGATGCACAGATGGTCACAGCCCTGGGACTAAGTCTAAACCAACTAGTTTAATATAACGCTAAGGTTTTGCTTTTGCTTCCGGAAGACATGTCCTTTAAGAACAAGGAACCTAACTTTACTTCAAAATTTGCGCTCCTCTCGTCCCTCCTAGAGCCTTCATAATCCCTATTGAATTAATGTCACAACCAAACTAGGTTATACGCTCCTTTTTGAGCATGGAGGTGGCTCTGAAAAGAGCCTTTGGGTTCTGTTGCGCCGCTGCAGTGGAAGCGCCTCACTTGGAGCTAGTGTATTTGGTGACGGCCTTTGTCCCCTCGGACACGGCATGCTTGGCCAGTTCCCCTGGCAGCAGCAAGCGGACGGCGGTCTGCACCTCCCGGGAGGTGATGGTAGAGCGCTTGTTGTAGTGCGCCAGGCGGGAGGCCTCGCTGGCGATGCGCTCAAAGATGTCATTTACGAAGGAATTCATGATACCCATGGCCTTGGATGAGATGCCGGTGTCGGGGTGCACCTGCTTCAGCACCTTATACACGTAGATGGAGTAACTCTCCTTGCGACCGCGCTTGCGTTTCTTGCCATCTTTCTTCTGAACCTTAGTGATGGCCTTTTTGGAGCCTTTCTTAGGGGCGGGAGCCGACCGAGAAGGATCTGGCATGTTGAGACAGTGTCAGGATAGAAACAAATGGAAATGTGGACAGAGCAGGTCTATTTGTCATTTTTATATTCAAATGAAGGCTTCCATATTTCTAGAATTTGATTGGATAGCATACTATACACTGTCGTAAACTGGAAGAATTTATGTAAATAGAGATGCCAACTCTGCTTTCCTATTGGATGACAGAACGCTACCATTTTAACCAATCAAAATGTACCTCAACCGCGCTGACAAGCTACGTCTGTGAATCTTTGTTTGGAAGTCTTTGTTTTAACGCCGGGGAAGAGCTTTATGTTTCATATCTGGACGTGGCCAAAAAAAAAAAAAAAAAGGAAACAAATGGATTTTAACTCAAAGTCTGAAACTTCTCTTGGTATGTGTCAACTGTAGTTTGACGTTTTTTTCCTGAGGCGAAGATCTGGAGGGGAAAATCTGATGTTTATGTACAAAAAACGGTAATACCTGAGAAATAGACGAAAGATTCTAACTGCTTTTATAACCAACTATTTTCCGTCCGTATTTTTTTTTTCAAAAGCCCCTCCCCCCCAATTTTAAAAAATCTTTTTCGAATTCTAGCAGTTCTTTATTATGTACCGTGGAGTCGTTTCCGACCCACAGCTACCCTTTATAGTGTTTCCGAGGAATCGGTGGTGAGCTTGAATCGCCAACCTTGTGGTTCAAATCGACTTTGCAGTCCAGTGCATTAACCCACAGCGTCACACCAGAAGTCAGCCATTCTTTAGGAAACAGAAAATGAAAATATATTGAGATACTTGGTTTAGAAGTGGAGCAGCAGGGCAGACTTTCAATAGAAAAGAATTAATTGATTGTATTTCTAACTAAACACTAGTCCTTCATATTTATAATTATGATTAATTTTGAATACCCCCCCTTAGGTGTTTAAGTGCTTGATATGTATGATCTGTATTCTCATATCTCCAAGAGCTAAATAAGTATTTTTCCAGTACACCAGCTTAAAGGAGTCACTAGTCTCATTGCCACCTCTCAAACAAAAGGTTATATAATACGTATTTCATTGCCAAACTATAAGCATAAGCTGTTATGAATTCAAATGTTTCACTATTTGAGCATCAGCATTACATGGGAGCTTGTTTGAAATGCAGAATCTTGGGTGACTTCTGGCAAATAATTTACTTTCTCTGAACCATTATTTTTCTCATCTGTAAAATGAGGATCTCAGTGCTGTGATAGGATTGCTGTAAGTAAATGTGTGTGAAACAGTTGGCTGAGTGCCCAACATACACTTAGTTCTTAATGTCAGTTGGCTTCAATTCTTGCTTTCCTTCACCGAATTAACCCAACTACAAGCAGCTAGTGCTCCCCCTGCTAAGCTCCCTCTGTGTCCAAGGCAGCTCCATCAAATAAATATATAGGAAGAAACTTTATTTTTCCCTGTAAAAAATGTCTTGCTTATGAATCTCCAGGATGGAAGACAGTGCTTGACACACAATTGTTAAGTCCTGTGGAGTTGGTTTCGACTCATAGTGAGTGACCCTACATAGGAGCAGAAAACCTTGGGGTTCTCCCACAGAGTGACTGGTGGGTGTGAACTGCGGACCTTGTGGTTCACAGCCCAGTGCTTATCCTACAGAGCCACTGTGCTCCCATTGACACACAATGTTGTTGTTAAGTGCTGTTGAGGCGGGTCTGACTCATAGTGACCCTGCATAGGATTTATGAGACTGTAAATCTTTACGGGATCAGAAAGTCTAATCTTTCTCCTGTGAAACGGCTTCTAGTTTTGAACTGCTGACCTTGAGGTTAGCAACCCAACTCACAACCTCTAGGCTACCAGAGCTCCTTGTTGTTATTGTTGTTGAGTTCCTTAGAGACCCTATAAATGTTTGTTAAATGAATAGGTCTATGTGCTAAGGGAACGTGCTATATATTCAAGGTTATACTGTGAGACACATCTAGCATTATCAGAACATGAGTTACTCAGAACATACTCAGCATTAAATATTTTACTTTAACAACAGCCTGGTGTGGTGCTGTGGGCTAATGCGTCAGATTGCAAAGTCATTTAAATTGCAAAATTGGTGGTTCAAGCTCACCAGCTGCTCCTTGGCACACCCTATACAGAGTTGCTATGGGTCGGAATCTACTCTACGGCATTTAACAGCATTTGATAAACAAACATTTTTATAGTGCTCATGATTTTCTAGGTAACGACTTGGATCACAGACACATTTCTGGAATGGAGGAAGGAGTGCTGAATTAAGGAAAGTTCCAAAGTGAAGGTCCTTGTTCCTTTGCAATCCAGGCAGGATCAACAGCAATGTCCTTTTCTTTTCTTTTTTTAGTACTTCAACTTCTTTTCTTTTTTAAAGTTTTTATTGTGAACTGAGTGATAGTTTACATGGGAGAACATTGGCTTTACACCATCGCTTCATTGCAATGGTTACAGTCTCCTCTGTGCACCATCATTCAACAGTATTTGCTTCCATTCCCTCTGTTTGTTTGGGGGGGGGTGGCGTTTACACAGAAACACTCAGGAATATATAGTAATTTAAACAACTAAAGGCACATTCTGCAAACTTGTCCCCTGGCCACCAGCACCCAGTCCCTCTCTTTCCAAAAGTCCAGAGTCCTCAGCTGTTCCCTCTCTCTATGTCCTCATCTCTGCCTCCATCTCTGGTGTCACTACTTCTCTGGATAGGGTCCAGCACTCTGCTTGTGCTCTTCTCCCTTGATGGTCCTAGGGTCCTCTGTTTCTGTACTATAAGATTAACTACTCTGTTTCTGCCACAAAACTTCTACCTTTACAGCTGTGACAGTCACAAATAGTCATGATAACAATTACTCACTATTGAATCATAAGAGTCTTATCCCCATCTCCTTTCACCAGATCCACCTAGACAAGATGAACACTATTCAGTGGGGACTTTTCCTTCCCCTGCACATTCTTAAACTAAACTCCCTTTTGAAAACTTGTAAACCAGTCACTTCATACCTTTATCGCCCTTTCATTTTAGGTAGCTAATGTCTAAGTTGCCTGTCCCTATATACCCTGTGTACAGAAGGGATAGCATTGATACTTGATGTGAAGACTCCTTCCCTCTCAGTTGGTATTTTGAGCTATTACATCCATAAGTATCTAGTATGGGTCAAGTTCATCAAATTGTAGCAATTTACACTCATTTCCTTTATTAAAAAAAACATATTTTTCCTTGTAATCTTCCTCTAGTCGAGTTCTGATTCTCAAGCCATCGAGGCTGGCTCAAATGGGTACTATCTGCAAGTTTAGGTGTTCTTGTGCATCTCCCCTCACTTCATATCAGCTGGATGCTTCACTCTTAGCTCTAGCCCTCCATGGCTATGTTCTTGTCCATGGTCTCACCACACTTTGGACCAACCAGCCATTCCTTTGCTCTCTCTTATCTCCAAGTCAACAGGAGTCTATGGAATATGGTTGAACTCAGCCCATTTCTTCATTGCTGTCTTTCCCCTTCTTCCACTCACCAGTAGAACAACGTAGTCACCAGCAAGTTTAGATGCCTGCTCCTGTGTTCCCTTTGAGTTTCCATCTTGGAGGAGGGCAATGTCTTTTTCTTAACTAACCCCAGGAGGAGTCCCTGAATGGTGCTAATGAGCTCAGTTGCTAACTGAAAGGTTTAAGTCCACACAGAAGTGCCTCAGGAGAAAGTCACAGTGATCTGCTTCTGAAAAACCATCCATTGGAAATTCTAGGAGCACAGTCCTACTCTGACACACATGAGGTTATTCTGAGTGGGAAATGACTTAAGTCATTTGCTTTAGCAACTGAGCTATGAATCACTTGAAATGTCCTGGGCAAATTTTGATTGTTTTTTTAAGGGACGTGTTCTGCTCCCATATATATCTTAACTTCCTTTTTGAGTGCAGTAGTAAAAAATATCTTAAGAAATGGTGAAAGTGAATGTTGTGGCTTCAAACAGTCTTTGGAGGAGATGGAAACCAGGCAACACATAAATCATAAAGCTTGTGGCGGTTCTATGAGAAAATACTTTTTTTTTTTTTTTTTTTTGTCTCTGCTAATAAAGGGAGAGCTGTAGGGATGGTGTTGGGAACCAATGACAAAGCTGCTTCAATCGAAACTGACAAATAGTCGTGAAAGCAGAGCGTAGTTAGAGGTAGGTACAACCAAGCATCCTCAGACTGACAGGCCAGGGCTGACTCACCAGTCCCAATCTAGCGCGGGCTTTTCCAAACGCCGGTCCCGCCTCACAGAGCATCAGAATTCTTTGCATCAAATGATTATCAGAAAATCACGATAATATCCAAAGACAAGGAAGAAACATTAAGGTACAAATGTAAATAAAATATTTCCAAAATTCAAAAAGTAGAAGACAAAACTGAGGAAAAGAACAAAGGCAGTCGAATAAATGAATGCTTTTGAAAGCCGAGGAAGGCGCATCCGACCATCAATTGGTTGAATATCAAGAAGGGGCGGGTATGATTGAATTTTGAACCAATGAAATACAGATTGTTGTTGATCCGGCTTTGTTTGCGTCATTGGCCTTCGTACGTACTCTTCCTGATTTGGTGGCACAGGGGGCGGGGATAGGCTATTCCTGTGTCCATGCACCCTGGTAATCCTACAAACCAGCACCGAAGGAGTCAGCCGAACTGCGGGTCGACGGCGATCTGTCCTCTCGGCTTTGGAGGCGCGTTATGGCACAGTACTTCATTACCGAGACGCGCGGCCTTGGAGCCGCCGGAACCTGGGATGCCGACCTGGAATGTTTCTTCAGCCAAACAGCTTGTGCGCCATCCTCTCTAACGCGTCACCATCGTGTCCAAGGATTACCAGTGCAAGCGTAGTACTTGTCGACTGGAAATGGCGACCCTGGAGCCAAGAGTGCCAAGAAATGCTAGCAAGATTCCTGACCAGTACCACCCAACTTCTAGTTGGGCGCCGTGGAGTCGTTTCTGACTACTCAAAGCAACTCTATACACAACAGAAAGAAACACTATCCAGTCCCGCGCCATCCTCACAATTGTCATTACATTTGAGCCCGTTGTTGCTGCCTCTATGCCAATCCAACTCGTTAGTGGTCTTCCTCTTTGTCCCTGACTCTCCACTTTACCAAGCATGATGTCCTCCTCCAGGGACTTGTTCCTCCTGATAACATGTCCAAAGTATGATACATGAAGTCTTGCCATCCTGGCTTCTAAGGAGCATTCTGCCTGTACTCCCAACACAGATTTTTTTCCATTCTTCTGGAAGTCCATGGTACTTTTAGTATTCTTTTTCTATATATTTTAGAATACTATACTTCAAAAGCAAATTCTTATACAGTGTTCTTATTCATTGTTCAATGTTCACATGCATATGAGGCTATTGAAAATACCATGACTTGAGTCAGACTGACCCTGTCCTCAAATTTTATAACTTTGCTGTTGAACGCTTAAGAGAGGTGTGCAGCTCATTTGCCTAACGCAATGTGTTAATTTCGTGACTGCTCTTTTCCTTATGTTGATTGTGGATTCAACCAAAATGAAATCTTTGGCAACTCCAATCTTTTCTGTTTCTTTATTAATCCAGTTATGAGGATTTTTAATTTATGTTGCGATGCAATCCATTTTCATCAGTATTTTAAGTCATCTTCTTTCCAGAAAGCAAGGCTAAGGTTATGTCATCTGTATATTGCAAGTTGTTGATGAGTCTTCCTCCAATCGGGATGCCAAGTTCTTATACAGAAAACCCAAGTGGTGGTCAGTTGTGCCTACCCTCCCCCACCCCCCACCCCCGCTTCCACCACTTGCCCACTCCACCCCCCATCAATGATCACAACTCTCTTCTTTCCTCAATATCACTTGACTAGTCAATCAATCTCCACAGTCTCCCAGCCCATGTTTCTGCAGCTGGGTATTCTGACATTCCATCAGGTGGTGACATCTCTCTCCTGTGTAAACACTTTGCTATGCACACAGACACTCCATGCTCCATTCACCATAGTGGGCTTGCAGTCCTGGAACAACTTGCAGCTTCTGCCTCTTGCTCTGGGCCTTGGTTCCTCCTACCAGGAGCATTACTTTCTCTCTTCACAGGGCTACTTTTTCTAGGTCTCAGATCTGGATTTTCTGTTTCATCTTCCTCATGTTAGTTGTAGAACATATTCTCTTACTCTGGAAAAAAATAGGAAGTCAATTAACAATAGCAAGTTACTTGGTTTCCTAAGGTTGTCATAACAAAGTACCACAAAATAAGTAAGAGAAAAAACCCCCCAGAAGTTTAGAGTCTCACAGTTCTGAAGGCTAGAATTCCAAATCAGAATATCAGCTGTATGTGAATTTTCTGTGGGTTCTGAGCAATCAAGTGCTCCATGTTTCTCTTCTGGCAATTCTTGGCTTTCCTTTGCTGCTCGTACATGCATATTCACGTAGTGCCTCCCCACATGTGTGAACCTGTATTCATATCTGTTCTTCCCTTATGTGAGATACCACTCAGAAGGAGTTAGAACCCAACTGTCTATATAACCTCATGTTATTTGAACTGATCTCATCTTCAAAAAATGCACCTTATATTCAAACGAGGACACATTCCGTGGTACAGTGGTATGGTACACCATGTATTTGGGTACACAATCAGTTCATAACACTTGGTAAGCATGCAATTAGATATTGCACAGTTAATCTAAGAGTCTTAGTTGTTGTTAAGTGGTGTCGTGTTGGTCCTGACTGATAGCAACCATGTGTAGGGTTTCCGGTGCCTGGTGAGTTTGAACTAACAACTGGTTCAGACTGACCTTTCAATCCAGTGCTCATCCTACAGTGCTGTACCAGGACTGGTATCAATACCTTAAAGCATCCTGCTTTTTAACTTCTGCTTTTTTATAGTTGTACTGTCAATCTATGTTTCCTTAAGGTATCACATTTCTAGAATGTGAAGTCATTGACATTGGCTTCAGTCTTGTAAGCTCATGGTAGTTGGTGGTTATGTGCTGTGGAGTCAGTTCTGACCCATAGCGACCCTGTACGGGGTTTCTGAGGCTGTAAATCTTTACGGGAGCAGAAAGCCTTATCTTTCTCCCACGGAATAGCTAGTAGTTTCGAACTGCTGACCTTGCGGTTCGCAGCCCGATTCGTAACCACTATGCTACCAGAGTTCCTTTGTAAACTCATAGTCACACAAATATCCCCTGAGAGCCAATACATCAAAATCAAAATGAAGCTGAGAAGGAAGTGTACTAGTTTTTTGCCCAGTTTGATGGGGTGAGACATGTTGAAAATTTTAGAGAGAAGAAATCAGATAGGTATAACTTGAATCAAAAGCCTGTGCATGATACCAAGCAAGCCCCTTTTGAGATTGAGACCATATTATTGTAAATGATAAGGCTAAAGAGAAGAACCAAGTTCTGCGATCCATGGTCATTCATTCACTTGAGAGAGAGAGAGAGAGAGAGAGAGAGAGAGAGAGAGAGAGAGAGAGAGTTTCTCTCTTTTAATTTTGACCATCTTTTTTTTTTTCTGTTTGACTTCTGTTCTTTTATCTAATATTTCTTGCTTCTCACGTGCATGTAAATTTTTGCTGAAGATAATTAAAAAACAGCTGCAACAGTACATCGACAGAGAACTGCCAGAAATACAAGCAGTATTCTGAAGAGGATATGGGATGGGGGATATCATTGCTGATGTCAGATGGATCTTGAGTGAAAGCAGAGAATACCAGAAAGATATTTACCTGTGCTTTATTGACTGTGCAAAGGCTTTTGACTGTGTGGATCATGACAAATTATGGATAGCATTGTTAAGAATGGGTATTCCAGAATTTATTGTGCTCACGAGGAACCTGTAACTATACTGAAAGGCAGTTGTTGGAACAAAACAAGGGGATACTGAATGGAAAGGTGTGCACAAGGGTTGTATTCTTTCACCATACTTATTTAATCTGTATGCTGAGCAAATAATCCAAGAAGATGGATTATATAAAGAAGAACATGGAGGAAGACTCATTAAGTTGTGACATGCCGATGCTGAAGCCAGGAAGATTTAAAATACTAACTGATGAAGATCTAAGACTTCATGTGGTTTACACTTCAATGTGAAAAAACAAACATCCTTACTATTGAATCAATAAATAACATCATGATAAATGGAGACAAGAATGAAGTTGTCAGACTTCATTTTGCTTGGATCTACAAACAACGTTCATGCAAGCAACAGCCAAGAAGTCCAATTATGTATTACATTAGGCAAATCTGCTGCACAAGACCTCTTTAAAGTGCTCAAAAGCAAAAGTACCAGGTTGAGGACTAAGGTGAGCCTGACTCAAGCCATGGTATTTTCAATAGCCTCATATGCATGTCAAAGTTGGACAATGAATAAGGAATTCACGCATTTGAGTTGTGGTGTTGGAGAAGGAAACATATTGAAGGTGTCATGGACTGTCAGAAGAACAAACAGGTCTGTGTTGGAATAAGTACATAATGCTCCTTAGAAATCAGGATGGTAAGAGTTTGTCTCTCATACTTTGGACATGCTACCGGGAGGGATCCGTCCCTGGAGAGAAACATCATGCTTTGGGTCAGCGGAAAAAAAGAGGAAGATCCCTAATTAGACGGATTAATCCAATGGCCTCAGCGATAGGTTAAAGCTTAACAATTGTATGTCTCAGGACTAGGCAGTGTTTCGTTCTTTCTGTTGTATATAAGGTCGCTATGAGTCTGATTCAACTCGAGGGCACCTAACAACAACAAACACCTTTTATTATTATTTTAAAGAAATTCGAACACATTTTTAGGGTCAAGGTTGAAAACCCGTCATTTTGGCTTTTTTTTTTTTTCTGACATCCTGCACCAATGAATTAACTTGAGTTTCCTCGCCTGTAGATTCCACAACCCTGGGCAAGACGCGAGGTGGCCAGCGACTCCAAGGCCGGGTTCTCAGGACCAGCGCTGAAGTCTGGCAGGTCCACTGGCGCGGGCGGGGCGGGCTCAGGGCTGGCGTTTTCCAGCCCCGCCCTCAAACCAAGTGGCCTTGCGCCACCGGGTTACTCACAGCTCAGGTCCTTGCAGCCTACAATAAACACTTTTTCCTTCAGTAATAATTATAGTTTTTTACACTCTTGCACAAGTCTCAGTTATAGGAAAAATGGAGGTTCCTGTTGGGGTTCAGAAGAGAACGCGGGCTGATGCGGCCTGCCGGATCCAGGCGTGAGCACACCGCTGCCAGGACCCGGCGGTAACGCCCCATCGGCGCGGCCTGGGCAGTAGCAGCGGTTTAGCGGCGGCGGCGGCGGCGGCGGCGGCTAAGCAGAGGCTTTGTGGTTTAGCTAATCTGCGCGATTCAGGTTTCCAGGTCTCCTCCCCGTTCCCCTGCCGCTCTCCTCGGCCTCCGCCCTCGCAGAGGGCCGCACTCGCAGCCCTGGAGGATCTCGCGGCCCCCGAGGCGGCCTCCTGCGCCATTTGTCAGCGCTCGTTTCGCGACCCGGTGCGCGCCGACTGCGGCCACCGGTTCTGCCGGACGTGCGTGGTTCAGTTCTGGGCGGAGGAGGACGGGCCCTTCCCATGTCCCGAGTGCGCTGACGACTGCTGGCAGCGCGCTGTGGAGCCAGGTCGCCCGCCTCTCAGCCGCCGCCTGCTGGCGCTCGAGGTGGCCGCCGCGGGGTCGGCGCGCGACGCCCTGGCCAGCGAGGCCGCGCTGCAGCTGCTGTGCCGCGCCGACGGGAGCCCGTTATGCCGCGCCTGCCGTATGGCTGCCGCACCCGAGCCGCCGGAGTGGGAGCCTCGCTGGAGGAAGGCGCTGCGCGGCAAGGTGCGCCCTACCAGGGATGTCACCGCCCTCGCCCTTGATTGTGTCTTGTCACCTTCTCCCTACCCCTCCCTATCCCCCCATCCTTGACTGTGTCCTGTCACTTGCCCCAATTAATGTCCTGTCACCTCCGTGCCCTGTCCATAGCTGTCCTCTTAGATCGCCTGTCTCTTCAGATTATATGAATCCACTTGGTTGCCCGCCCTGCAGATGGACCAGACGTCCACCTGCAGCCTTTCGCTTTCAAAGCCCCTGTGTTTCTATTGTGTGGATGATGATGCTAGTTTCCTTGTCATTTAGTATTCGCTCTTCCAGCTCAGCCATCTTTCTAGTTCCATTCCCACTGTGTCTTCCTCACACCCACCAGTTCTCCAGTCAACCCCCTTTACTCCCGGATTTGCACGTGGCACCTGCCCTCAGGTAGATCAATATACCTTGAAACTCAGCTGTTAGGGGAGAAAGGCAGAATTGTTTGCCCAAAGAAAAAAGACTCCGAGCCAAACCTTGGATACAAAATCCACTTAAGTTCTGATGCTTCCTGCCAGAAGCCAAAAAAAAAGCTTTGCATATTTTAGTGCATACCTTTTGTCAGACACTATTTTGGGGCTTTACAGAGATCTGTGCCTTACCTAGCATTGGGTGGAGAAAGGGAGGTACAGTTGTAGGCCTGCACACCCAGCTTTTGGGTTACACACTGGGCTGAGCTTTCCTTTTCTCTTTGTAGGGACTCCTCACATCCACACCAGAGGCACCACAGTACCTAGTCAAGGCCTTGAAGAAGGCTGTGTAGTGCCATTGTACAGACTACTTGCACTAGAGAAGAAATACTTTGATTTTGGAAAATGACTTGGACAAGCACCTATGCTGGTTTACCTGCCAGTCTGAATTCCTTCTGAAAAGAGTGTATGAGGCTTCTATGACTTGACTTAATGACTGTCAGTAAACACTGTGGGCCTGGAGGAGGAAGAGCTTACCTTCAAATACCCAGTAGATTTCGTACTTTTCCTGTCAGATTTTGATCTGGAAAAATTTTAGTCAGGGTCACTGGAGAAAACCTGTTAACATGGGAACCATCTTGCCACCAGCAATCTTTTTATAATATCTGACAAGCAAATTGTTGCTGAGTGTTTCTTCTGGGACAGGCGGACTGAACCAGATAATACCCATCGTTTGAACTGGACAGGGCATGAGAAAGTCAGTATGACTTGGGCCTTCAGGACATTCCCTGGGGAAATGGTTGCTTCCCACTGTTCAAGTAACTAGCCTCTCTCTCCCAGGAAAATAAGGGATCAGTGGAGATTATGAGAAAGGATCTGAATGACGCTCGAGATCTGCACGGCCAGGCGGAGTCAGCAGCTGCTGTGTGGAAGGCAAGTAGTGTGTGTGCAGCCTCAGGGTCTGAGCGCAATCAGAAACATCTGTGCCCTTTCTTGTGAATGCTCCTTGTGCTTGTCTCTGGTGGTGGTAGCTGTGTGCCGCAGTATGTTCCGACTCGTAGCAACCCTGTTTAGAGTTTCCGAGGCTATACATTTTTACGGGTGCAGAAAGCCTCATCTTTCTCCCAGGGAACAGCTGGTAGTTTCAAACTGCTGGCCATGAGGTTAGCAGCCTGACTCTAACCACTCTGCTACCAGAGCTGCTCAGGACAAAGAGAAAATGAAATTAAGCAAATCAGGCTGATGGGTGGCTGCTTGACTTAGCTAACTGGAGGAGAAGGGTATTTTGAATTCATATTTTTCTAGGGATTTTTGTTAGGTATATCACAAATATAATTTAGCCTAAGTGTTTTGGAATGCTCTCTCTTTTTTTTTTTTTCCTCCATGTTTTATGCATATGGAGTGTTTTACTAAATCCATATTCCTTTTTGTTATTGATTTTGATCTGAATCAATATAGTTATTTCCATGTGTAACCAGTAGCCATGTTGGAAGGACTTTGTAAGTGATATTTTCCACAGCCATATGGATCATGTATGGTTACCAGAATTATTTCAGATTACTCACTAACAAAACTACAAATTAGTTTAAACTTTTCTTTTTCTTTACATATGGTAAAATTTGTAGTGGTTTCTCAGGGCTTCATAACTTATCTATTAACCCTTTTTAGTTCTGGTGTGGCACTGCAGGATACGGCACTAGATCACTAGGTCAGTTGTGAACCGCAAGGTCAGTGGTTCAAACCCACCAGCTGCTCCTCGGAAACCGTATACATGATTGCTATGAGTTGGAATTGACTCGACAGTACTTAATTACAACAACAACAACAAAGTGGAGTACCTTTTTTCTACTTCCAGAATAGAAGTAGAGATTGCAGTGGGAGGGGCATTTGGTGTCAGAATTGCTCAGAAGGTTGGAGGGTGGAGGCATGTCTGACAGCCTCATAGGAATTGGCCTTGGGCTCATGCTGATGCTTCTCCCCACCTTACACCCGACTCATGCTGGAAAAGCTCCCTACTTGTGAAGCTTACACTGTGTAATCCCACCCCATGCCACAGTTCTCTCTTCTCTAGTTCCACCCAAACTCTGGCCCCCACTCCACAGAGTCCTCAGGTGGACAGTCATAGAGAGGTGGTAGATTGCATACAGGGTGCAGACCAGACACCAACAGCACATGCCCTTGGTAGACCATTCTCAAATTCTCTTCTGATAATCGTAGTGAGATGAACTGAGACCAGATGATACTGAGGCTTTGGGGCCCTCCATCTTCTCCAATAACCTTGTGCTCCTCCAACACACTAGTTCTGTCCACAAATTTTAGTAGATAGTGGCTTTTGATACAACCTTTATATTTTGGGTTGTTGTTAGGTGCCATTGAGTTGGTTCTGACCCATAGCAACCGAAACACAGCCGAAACACCACCCATCCTCACAGTTGCTGCCACTGTGCCAGTCCATCTTGTTGGGTGTCTCCCTCTTTTTCACTGACCCTCCACTTTACCAAGCATGATGTCCTTCTCTAGGGACTGGTCCTTCCTGATAATATGTTCAAAGTACGAGAGATGAAGCCTGGCCATCTTGGCTTCTATGGAGCATTCTGGCTATACTTTTTCCAGTACAGATTTATTTGTTCTTCTGTCAGTCCATAGTACTTTTTTTTTTTTAATATTATATTGTGAATTATGTGATAGCTTACATGGAAGAACATTAGCTTTACATTCATCCTATCCTATATCATTTCATTGCCATGGTTACAATCCCCTCCATGCATTATCAACCAACCAAAGGGTACACCCTGCAAGGCCCCCCTACCCCCATCAGCACACATCCCCTCTCCCTCTCTGGGTCTAAAGTCCCCAGCTGCTCCATCTCTCCACATCATCATCTCTGCCTCCATCTCTGGCATTACTGCTTCTCTTGGTAGGGTCCCGCTCTCCGCTCTTCTCCCTTGATGGTCCCAGGGACCTCCGCTCCTAGACTGCAAAGTTAATCACTCCCCTTTTAATCCTCCTTTTGCTACAAAAACGTCTACCTTTACCTTTCCAACCCTCACAATCAGTCCTGATAACAATTATTCACTATTGTATCACAAGAGACCCATCCGCATCGCCTTTTATCAACCCCACCCAGACAGATTGGATACTACTCAGTGGAGATTCTACCTTCCTCCGCGCCCTCTGGATCTAGGTTCTCTCTTAAAAGCTTGTAAGCCAGTCACTTCTTGCTTTTGTAGCCCCCTCATTTTGAGTAGCCGATGTCCAAGTTGCCCAGCCCTGTCTACTATGTGTATGGAGGGTGTGGGAATGATCCTTGCTGTTAAGATTTGTTCCTTCTTGCCTTTGTAGCCCCCCCACCATGGTACTTTTAATATTCTTTTCTAACACCATAACTCAAATGTATCAGTTCTTCTCCAGTCTTCCTTATTTATTGACCAACTTTCACATGCATGTGAGGCTTTTGAAAATACCATGTTTTGGGCCTAGACACTTAGATGAAGTACATTCTACATTCAAAGGATTGAGTTTGTGGTGTGCTACTTTGGCCCAGAGGCGGGGGCCTGTGAAGGTACTTTGAACCAAGGAACCTGAGCAGGACTCCCACTGCTGTTTGTTTGCTGTACTGGCAATAAAAGACGTGGCTCTTCTTAGCACTACTGTCACCATCACTCTGTGGCCCAAGGTTTGGGTGAAGAACTTGATGAGAATCTGGTAAATTCAAAGAGGATCAGCCCACCATACTCTCCTTAAAATGGCCAAAAAGACTGAGTGGAAAGTTAGTTGAAGGCTAGCATGATGATTTAGGGATTCAGGTAAGGATGATGGGAAGTTCATTAGAGATTTGGGAGTGTATGTTGACCTGGCAGTGGTTTGTAGACTCAGCAGAAACCCTTAGGAGACAGTCTTTTTCTTCTCATCTATAGAAGTGTAATGGAGTCCTGGTGTGGCACTGTAGGATAAGCACTAGACCACAAATTCCATTTGAACTATAAGGTCAATAGTTAAAATTTACCAGCTTCTCCTCGGAAGCCCTATACAGGGCTGCTAGATAGGCAGGGTTTGCCATCACCAGCAAAAGACCACGTTTGCCTTGTCAGTGCATGGGAAACACTTTATGTACATAGAGACGAGACAGAGATCAACTTCACTAGTGGGCACTGGTCTCCCTTGGCCAGCAGACTCATTTCACATGTGACTGATGCAGGACAGATGTCTTGTGCCATGAAAGACCTTATTCCTACCTTCCCTTCTAGGAACAGATAGAGAAGTGGGGTTGACCAGGTGCCATATGGTTCCCATGCCATGTGCAAGAGACAGAGAAAGTTACTGTGTGCCTAGAACAAGGGGAAGGCTTCTGTTATAAAGAGAAGGAACTGGGAGAGAAGTGGTGATCCATTTTCCAGCTTCCTAATAAGGGAATATTCTGGCCTTTACTTAGGGAGCCTGGATGAGAGGCATCAAGGCAGACCATTTGCGACCAACAGTCTTTAAATACAGCTGAGTGCTTTACAGTAAACAGTCTTCTACTAGAGAGGAGGGTCGGTAGTTACAACTACTGTAAGTCGTAGATACTGTTCCCAAGATGGGGTGGGGTATGTATGTATAACTGTGCATTAGAGGGCTCTCTGTGATAGGCTTGAAGACACAGATATCCTTTCCTAACTGTCCATTTTGTAGGGCCATGTGATGGATCGGAGGAAGAAGGCACTGACTGATTATAAGAAGCTTCGAGCCTTTTTTGCTGAGGAGGAAGAACATTTCCTACAGGAGGCAGAAAAAGGAGAGGAGGCACCGGAGGATGAGGGTGCTGATCCAGCTGAGAGATTTAAGTCCCTGCTGCAGGCTGTCTCAGAGCTGGAGAAAAAGCACCGCAACCTGGGACTCAGCATGCTACTTCAGGTGTGTGCTGTTTATGTACGTCTGTGGATTTCATCTCAGGTGCGTGTGTTCTTATTAATGTGCTTTTGGCAGTTGTCCGTGTGCTGATGAGGATGGCTGTAAAGGGTTGAAAAGAAGAGATTTGTTGTGTTCCAAAAAAAAATTACAGATATTATTAGCTCTGAGCATTAGATTGAAGAAATAGCAAACATATTAGCAGAGTCATTTACCAAAAGAAGTAAAAAGATACTACATGACTTCTATTTACTGTAACCTTTTGGAAGTGAATTTCAGGAGTGGATTATCCAGATATGGTGGCTTGAAATTTTTAATCCAAGGAGCATAGTTTTCTAGGCTTTCAAGTAGGAAAGGAAGTTTGATGAAGGGAAGACCTGTACCCCTAATACTAAAGCAGAATGGCATCTTGGTCCCTCATCCTGGGGATCTGAGGACAGGAACTATGCTCATGGGGTTCAGAGCAGCCACCATGGAGCTCCCGCAGCACCCTCAGGAGTGTAGTAGGTCACCACCTCTCTGGCTATATATATCCCATCACTATCTGACTCTCATGCTAAATGTTCTCCTCATATCTTCTGATTCAATTCCTTGTCTAAAACTTAAAGACCTATAACCAATTAACTGCTTTTTTTCATTTGCTTATATGATCCTGGAATCATCAACTCCAGATCCTTCTCTTTTCCTGTCTGATAAGTTTCCTTTTCACATCTAAAAACAGTCATTGTTGTTGTTGCTGTTAAGTGCCGTTGAGTCGGTTCCGACCCATAGCGACCCTGTACAGGGTTTCCGAGGCTATAAATCTTTACAGGAGCAGAACGTCTCATCTTTCTCCTGAGGAGCGGCTGGTAGTTTCGAACTGTTGGCCTTAAGGTTCGCAGCCCGATTCGTAACCACTACGCTACCAGAGCTCCTTTCAGCTTTAAGCAGTTCAGCCGATCTTGACCATTGCGGCTCATGAGCTTTCTGGAAGATGTTTGCGGATTGGTGTATGTGAGGCTGTAGTTTTTCTTGGGTTCTGAGGCTCACTGATGTGTTACTTAAGACAGTCCTGGTTCTGGGAATTCTTAAGCATGGTTTTTTTCTTTTCTCCCCTCTGCAGTGATGGTGCTGGCCCAGAAGGAGGAATCTGTCCTGGAACAGGAGGAAGAAGAAAGTCCTACACACTGGCTTGCAGGATCTCCCTCTGCCCTTCCTCAAGGCCTCCTTCCAAGCCTCTGTCTGTTCTTTATCCCAGGGCTGCCTTTGTTTGGACCATTAATATGTAGATGTTGGGGAAAGCATCTGTAGGTACCCCTGCCATTGATTGTTCAAGATAGTAATTTTAAACAAAGTATTTGTTTTCTATTTTCTTTGAAAGTATTAATATTTTTCAGGCTACAAACATTTTTATAGTTGAGGCTTGTCATAGGGGAGACTTTAGGCCAGTTTGTCATAAAACTGTCACTGATAAGGCTTTCATCAGAAATATGCCTGGAATTGTTCAGTCACCCGTGGTGATGATGTGGTCACTAGATGATCTAAATTCTTGTGCTTTGAGACATTCCTTTTAGCTGCCAGGGCAATGAGGTCCTGTGCCTTGTTAATGATGATTAAGACAAAGTTGTTATACTGGACAGTCATACCCAGGCCCACAGATCACTTGGCAGATGCATTATGCACATTGTTGTTGTTGTTAAGTGCCATCGAGTCGGTTCCAACCCATAGTGACCCTGAATAGGGTTTCCGAGGCTGTAAATCTTTACGGGAGCAGAAAGCCTCATCTTTCTCCCGCGGAGCACCTGGTAGTTTCGAACTGCTGACTTTGCAGTTCACAGTCCGATTCGTAACCTCTACACTACCAGAGCTCCTTAGTTAAGACTAAATCTGGGGTTAGTTTCAAGGAAGAGTCATTGCTAAGGGGACATCATGACTCCTGAGTGGGGAAGAAAGGAGGTATTTGAACTAATACTTGGGCTGTTCCCAGTGTTTGGATCTTAGGCCTTTTACCATTCACAAAGCAAGAGCTTGTCTGCCTTCCACTGTCATTCTGCCTCCCATCCCACCACCCTCCTGACAGTTTGTGCTCCCACAGAAGGATTTTTGTGAGGACTTCACAAAAATGTCTTCTCAGGCTTCCATATGGGCCCAAAGATAGCCTGGACTGGCACTGATGCAGATCCAGTCGGTGTTGGCAGCGGGAGCCCTATCTTTCCTGTGAGCTCTGCCAGGGCTGTTTGTGAGTGGAACCAAACTTCAGGAAAAAGAAAGGAAGGAAGGACAGGAAGGATAAGGGAAAAGAGAAAGGGAGGGCGGGAGAATATTATTTTTGACCCTTTATATATAGGAGGGATTTATTTCTTGAGGTGTGCCTGGTAGGAATGGTGCAGGTACCATTAGTTTTTATCCTTATACCTCTGTCTTCTCTACTGGCTAGTTTTTCCTATTTCAGTCTTGCCCAACTTATACTTCTCATTTTTTGCTTTTCATTGTCTTTCCTGCCTCAAGCCTAATGGGATGTTTGAACTAGAGCTTCTAGCTGAACTAGGCACTCGAAGCCCCCAAGTCCTGGATCAGTGATTCATCTCTAGACCATGACAACTCCAAGCAGCTCCTGGACTCTCCAGGCTTCACTGTCAAATTTCATCTCACTATCTCTCACTGCCTTTTATTGCTTTGTATTTCCTGTGATATATTAATTTAGCAAAATGTGTGACTTCGTTGTGCGTTGCCTGCGTATAGATTAGTTTAAATTATGAAATTGTGGCACAAAGTAGACAAAAATGAGAGGTTTGAGAATATTGATGCAGATAAATATTTAGAGTTGTTTTGGTTGAGCATGTAAATTCCAGCTTTGTTGTAGGATAGGAGACTGCTCTCAGCATCTACAGATACCTGCTTGCTCATTAGGTGTGTGCCTGTTGTCATAAGAGGAAACTTCCTCATAGTGTCATTGTTCTGCAAGTAGCAGGCAATATACCATTGTCTGCATTCCTTGGGCCACAGAGAGCCTCAGATGTGATGGCTTTAAGAGTCTGGTCAAGGACATCGCACCACTGAGGGTTTGTGTGCATGGGTATTATGATTTCTGTGCTGTACAATTCTGTGGATGGTGAACACACTAAGCTAAGCTGTAACAGTGAGTACTGTATGTAAGTGGCTTATAGAAGAGCATGACTGCAGTACTGTGCTGAATACCCAGGCTGCAGCTGAGAAGAAAGCCTGTTAGGCACACATCACAGCAGTGTATGGTCACTGGTATGTAGCTGTTGAATGCTGGAGCAGGGCAGTCAGAACCCATGTACATGTGCTACATGGTAGGAGATGGTGGAACAGGTGTACTGGTGGCCTGCAGATGTCAATCAATGCCTAGAGAAGGTTGCCAGGGATAACTCTGAGCATTGTGTTACATGTACATTTACCCTGGACACTCGTTTTGATAATAAGTGAGCTGCTGTCAGGAGGGTCCATTAGTATGTAAAGCTTTCCAAGCCCCAGGAGAAAGTAACTTTTCATACTGACGAGCTGTTGTATTTTACTTGTATGCTCTAGGTATGTGTTGTCATCTGAAAGCTTAGAGGTAGGCCTACCTGATGCCAGGCTAGCCTTTTACATAGTGGTGAATAAAGCTGAATTTGCTTCAGCCTGTTTGCTTCTTTGTTCCCTCTTTCCCGTCTCTCTGTGCTCCTTGTGAGGGCCATGAACAGTACAAGATGGGTCCTGCCCACAAAGGACACTGGGAAAGAACCAGAACACCTAACCAGGTGGTGATGACCTGGTCCAGGAACAAATATCAAACACCAGACTCTGATAACATCAACTGGAACCCACTCACAAGGATTAAGCCAATCCCATCTGTCATAGATTAGACTTTTTCTTGGTTCCCCTACATATATTCTTGACACATAAGCACGTCCCGCACTGCCCGTACTGCATGGGTCTCTGCCAGAGTGACTTGGTACTATAACTCCTTCCTGAGAGTCTTGACTCCAAACTCAGTAAATTCTTTAATAAAGCTAGATCTGATCAATCTGGCTTTCTTGGAATCGGACCTCTGCCCCTCAGACCTACTCCTACTGCTTGTCCTGTGATGTGTGACAAGTCTTTATGATGACACTGCTGTGCCCCACACATAGTAAGTGTCTGAATCCTGTACTTTTTCTATGGAAGGTGGGGAAAGCTGCAGAATTGTATATTGGGAAGAGTGACTTCATCAGATCTCATGATAGACCCAGGAGTGTGTATGACCTTGGACAAGCCAATCTATCCCCTAAGGTCCACATTAGAGAAGCCCAGAACACCTTTGTCCCCAAACCACCAGGCAGTGGGTGGAAGAAGTGGGTATAAGGGGCCTGCCCATATCAACCTATGTTTGCAAGGGGGGCGGGGAAGGATCTTTTTCCTTAATAGTGTGAGGATCCTGGGGACTCGTCCCACATTGCAGACCATTGACTTTATCTTAATATTAGAGCAGATTTGGAGAATTGCAAATTAAAGCATTGATGAGATACTACTTTAGCTCTTAGGTTGACTGAAATAAAGAGTGTTAAGTGTTAATAAGAATGTACCAACTCATAGTGACCCTATAAACAACAGAATGAAACACTGCCCAGTCCTGGGCCAACCTCACAATTAATGCTTGAGCACATTGATGCTGCCACTTTGCCAGTCCATCTGGCTGGGGGTCTTCCTCTTTTTCTCTGACCCTCCACCTTATCAAACATGATATCCTTCTCCAGCGACTGGTCCTTCCTGACAATATGTCCCAAGTATGAGAGACGAAGTTTGGCCATTGAGGCCTCCAAGGAGCACTCTGGCTGCACTTCTTCCAACACAGATCTGTTGCTTCTTTTGGCAACCCATGGCACTTTCAATATTTTCCTCTAACACCGTAACTCAAAAGCATCAACTATTCTATGGTCTTTATTCACTGTCCAGCTTTCGCATGCATATGAGGTTATTGGAAATACCATCGCTTGGGTCAAGCGCACCTCAAGCTGACATCTTTGATTTTCAACACTTTAAAAAGGTCCTGTGCGGCAGATTTGCCTAATGCAATATGTTGTTTGATTTCTTGACTGCTGCTTTCGTGAGTATTGATAGTTGATCAGAGAAGAATGAAGTCCTTGACAACTTCAATCTTTTCTGTGTTGATAAGAATATTGTTTATTGGTCTAGTGGTGAGGATTTTTGTTTTCTTTACATTGACATGTAATCCATACCGAAGGCTGTGCTCTTTGATCTTCATCAGAAAATGTTTTTAAGTCTTCACTTTTCAGCAAGCAAGGTTGTATCATCTGCATATCACAGATTGTTAATGAGTCTTCCATCATGATGCCACGTTTTTCTTCATATAACACAGCTTCTTGGATTATTTGCTCAGCATGCAGGTTGAATAAGTATGGTGAAAGAATACAAGCTTGTGGCACACCTTTAATTTTAAACCATTCAGTGTTCCCATGTTCTGTTCGAACAACTGCCTCTTTTTCCGTGTACAGATTCCTCATGAGCACAATGAAGTGTTCTGGAATACTCATACTTCTCATTGTTGTCCATAGCTTGTCATGATCCACACATATAGATGATATAGATATATAGAAAGCCTGTGGACCAACTGTCTACTTCCCATTGATGATCTCTTAGCACTGTTACCCTATGGAAATCTAGAGTCATAGAACATAAGAAATATCCAGAGCTGCTAAAGCTGTTTAATAAAATGGCATTTTTTTTTCTGGTATTAGCAGCTGTATGCTGAACAAATAATCTGAGAGACTGGATGACATGAAGAAGTATGTGGCATCAGGATTGGAAGAAGACTGCGATTAAAAACTGCATTAAAACCTTCGACATGCAGATGATACAGCCTTGATTGCTGGAAGCGAAGAAGACTTAAAATATTGAGGAAAATCAGAGAACACAGCCTTACACCTTAATGTAAAAAACAAACAAACAAAAATCCTCACAACTGAACCAATAACATGGTAAATGAAGAAAAGAATAAGCTTGTCAAAAACTTCATTTTTCTTGGATCCACTATCAACACTAAGGGAAGTAGAAATCAAGAAGTCAAATGAAAAAACAAAAAAGAAGTCAAATGATAACGTTGTATTAGGCAAATCTATTGCACTTGATCTCTTTAGTTTTCAAGTGTAAAGATCAGTTTGAAGACTAGGGTGTTCTTGATGTAAGCTATGGTATTTTCAATAGCCTCATATGCATGTGAGAATTGGGCAATGAATAAGGAAGACCATAGAAGAATTGATGCATTTGAGTTAAGGTGTTGGAGAATATTGAAAGTACCATGGACTTCCAAAAGAACAAACAAATCTGTGTTGGAAGAAGTACAATGAGAAAGGTAGGATAGGGAGACTACGTCTCATAACCCAAATGCATCAGTTCTTCTGTGGTCTTCCTTATTCATTGCCCATTCCTCACATGCATATGAGGCTATTGAAAATACCATACTTTAGTCCTCAAACTGACATCTTTGCTCTTGAACACTTTAAACAGGTCTTGTGCAGCACATCTGCCTAATGCAATACGTTGTTTAATTTCTTGACTTTTTTTTCTTGTATCCATTTATCATGATGCTATTTATAAGTCCAGATGTGAGGATTTTCATTTTCTTTACATCGAGGTGGAATCCATACTGAAGGCTGTGGTATTTGATCCTTATCAGTAAGTATTTAAAGTCTTTCTTTGCTTCAGCAAGCAAAGTTGTATTATCTGCATATTATAGGTTGTTAGTGATTCTTCTTCCAACCTTAATGCCATGTTGTTCCGTATAACCCAGTTTCTCGAATTATTTGGTCAACCTACCGATTGAATAAGTGTGGTGAATTGATACAATCCCGACACACACCTTTCCTAATAATAAACCATTTAGTATTCTGTTGTTCTGTTTGGATGACTGTCTCTAGGTCCTATGAACACAATTAGTGTCCTGGAATAACCGTTCTTCACAATGTTACCCATAGTATGTTATGATCCACAAAGTTGAATGACTTTGTAGACCATAAAAATAAAGAACAAATAAACATCTTTCTGGTATTGTCTGCTCTTAGCCAAGATCCATCTGATGTCAACAATGATATCCCTGGTTCCACTACCTCTTCTGAACACAGCTTGAATTTCTGGCAGCTCCTTTTAGATTAATGTAGTGCTGCCACTGTTTTGGAATGATCTTGAGCAAAATTTTACTTGCATGTGATATTAATGATAGTGTTCAATGATTTCCATATTCCTTTACTTCATCTTTCATTGGAAGGGTCACAAATATGCATCCCTTCCAATTGGTTGACCCAGTAACTATCTCCTAAATTTCTTGCCATAGACTAGTTAATGCCTGCAGTGCTGCATCAGTTTGCTGAAACATTTCAATTTGTATTTTGTCAATTACTGGAGCCTTGTTTTTTGCCCATGCTTTTAGTGCAGCTTGGACTTCTTCCTCAATACCATTGGTTTTTGATCAGATGCTACCTCTTTAAATGATTGTACATCAGCCAATTTTTTTTTGGTACAGTGACTCTGCATTTCTCCTATTTTATTTTGTTTCCAGTGTCATTCAGCATTTTGCCATT